ACTATCAAACTCGGCCAGCATTCGTTCCGCCTGCTCGATGTTAGGTGTTATAAGCACGATGTCGTCTGCAAAGCGGAGGTGAACTAGGAAGCGGCCGTCGACCTTCACTCCCAAGTCTTCCCATTCCAAATGACGCATGATATTCTCGAGGGCGGCACTGAAAAGTTTGGGCGAAATAGTATCGCGTTGCCGGACACCTCTCTTCACGTTGACAATGACTTCCTTATAGAATGGTGAAATCCTGTCCTTGCCTTGCCACATTAGTGGGTGATAAATCAGGAAAGGATCGGATGTTTAGTTATAGAAATTGATGACAAGTGTTAGAGACTCATGAAGAGCCATGGAAGGCGAGGTCACTAGGTCTACAAAGCCACTCCTATTGACACCGGACGTTTGGCACTTTAGTAGGTGGTGTAGGATGTAACAAGGTCATAGGTGCTCTGTGACGGGAACTGATAACAGCTGATAAAAGGTGATGAGGGACCTCAGAGAGCAAGAGCCACTTACCAATAGAATCCTAACGCCTATGATATTTACGATCAACCTTTGACTCTTTGATATATTTCTATAGATAAGATGAATAAGTGCAGTAATAGAGAGCAATTAAGATAAGTACATTATAGGGAGACAAGAACTCAGTTTTTTCTTGCTATTAGATTACTACCGCTACTCAGCAAGGTTTGTGATTCAATTGAGGATTTTGGTTACTCTTTTTTTCAATGTCAATTGCTACAAAGCTTATCCACCGCCTATAATCTAGGATTTTTAACTAATGGCATAACCATCTGATGACTATGGCCTTCTATGAATTTTTATCAGCCCCTTGACGAGCCATAGACAGCCACTGAAGCCATTTCGCGCTTATACGAAGCGCGAAATGTCTTCAGTGGCTGTCTATGGCTCGTCATCACATCCTAAGAGCTGTTATCAGTTCCTATCAACAACCATCTACGGTGCCTTCCTAACGCACACCCCCTACTAAAAGCTTCACGGTTTGCAAGAAGGAGGTAACTGATCCAGCGGCTATTGCCTTCTAGGGTTCCTTATAAGCTCCTAATATTGCCGCTGTCGCAAATGCTATGGCTTTCTATCACCTACAATCAGTAATGCCATCCAACCGCCTGTATCCCTTTAAAAATTTTTGGCGCTTTTGGTGAAGGGGAAGGACTTATGAATTTCAGGCCGGACATTTATTCCACGCAGACCCCGCCCACTGTAGGCAGCGTGCGGTAGCCTACCACCATCAGTATTCCCTTCCTGTCGCCTGTACTCCTACTGGGTACGGGAACGAATTTTCGATCGCACCTAATCAAGCTCGCCTCGCACCTGGGCGCGAAGTGACCTTAATTAGGTGCGAAGACCCCGCGGTAATTACGCTACCCGCACTCGCTACTAATCGAGTTGAAACTTGTCATTCAAGGAGAATAATGGCAGTTTGAAAAATTGAGTTTTTATTTAAAAATGAGTTTTTTTCAAGTGTGATGCTGTGGCTCAGCCGCCTCAGAAAGAAGTGTATTTACAGAACGTGGAAGCGATTCTGGAGAGGGGGCTGTTTTGGTAAAGGAAACGAGCAGAGCGATTGCTGTGTTACGGAATCAGCTGCATTGGACAAGGCTGTACGGGTGCAGGAAACGTGTAGGGCGAAGGTTGTGATGCAGGATCCAGCTGCATTGGAGGAGGCTGTGTAGACGCAGAACTCCCGAAAAAATCATTTTGTAGTGCTAGGGCTTCCGGAGCGAAAGTGAAAAGCTCGGACAGTGGAGGAAATGGCCCCATGGACCGCGCACTCCTAAATAGTTCGTAGCGGGAGGACACCCTGTAAGTTCATCGAAACAGTACAGTACGTCTCCAGAATACATTGTAGTGTATCGTCGTCTATGGCGACGATCCCCATAACTATGTATATCGTCGTCTCACTGTCTGAGACGAATCCCTAGCTGAACCCACGCCCCTAAATGGTGCGGGGTCAAGCGGACCCGAGATAAGTTGGGTCCGCACTCCTCTTCCTTAAGTCGTCGAAGCAAGACGTAAGTTGCCTGCCTTATAAAGTATTGTCTACCATTATTGTGTACTGTTATAGCGGGAACGACCGCACTTACAATATTATTGTGTTATATTAACTCCGTTATCACCGGAGCCCTCGTAATAACCACTGAAC